ACAAAGCAAAAACTGAAGGAAGAAAACTGCATCAGACTCACAGGACCTAAGAATGGACTAACACTTACCAAACGGAAAGGGGTTGGGGCAGGTGGGTGGGAAGGGAGGGATAAGGGGATTAAGGGGCATTATGATTAGCACACATATTATAGGGGTGGCATGAGGAAGGTAGTACAGCACAGAGAAGACAAGTAGTGACTCTATAGCATCTTACTATGCTGATGGACAGTGACTGTAATGGGGTATATGGGGGGGACTTGATAATAGGGGGAATGCAGTAACCACAATGTTGCTGATGTGAAACCTCAGCATAAGACTGTATATCAATGATATCTTAAAAAAAATCAGGCAAATTCATTCTAGGTTGTTTGAGTTTAAAATAGTTACCCTTTGGGATGGGAGTAGGTATATAGAATCACTAGGAGGGGTAGGAGAGGGCGATGTCTTTGGGGTACTGATACTCTATTTCTTGGTTACACCTCTATATTTAGTTTGTGAAAACTATCGTGTTGATGATTTATAACGTATGCTTATTTCTTTTTGACAGTATTATATTTTGATAAAAAGTAAAAAGCAAAAACAAACACAAAACAAGTCACCCATACAACGCTAGGGTGGGAGGGAGGACAGGGATGATGGCCACAGGCAAAAAGACAGAGCTATGTATAGGTTTTACAACCACTATCTCATGGTCATTACTCATTACATTGTTTTCAAATCCTTTAAAAGCAAGATTTCAACATTTGTTTTTAGTAGCAATCACCTGTCTAGGAAATGTTTGTGTTTGATGTAACTTGCTTATTGATGCAACTCTTTTGATCCTGTCTACTTCTTGGATACACATATGGGCTTGAGGTCTGCAGGAGACCCCACACCAGTTCTTCAGTCTTGCTTGCAGCTCACATATCTCACATGTGTAATAGTCATATCTGATTGCTAATATCTAATATCTAATTGCTAAGCTCTGCCCACCTCTTTCAGTAGCTGTCTTTAGATTACATGCCCACCGTGTTGGAGTCTCCAATAAGACAGAGGTAACCCCAGGTGATTTGTTGACTGAGTGATTGTAAAGGACTATCATCTGAAATTTGTGAGGGGTTTTAGCTCAACTAGCAGCTAGGTTTCTGTGTTCTTTTGTTCTTGTGGCCTGGGAATAAGTGGTTTAAGCCTGGCATTTGCGTCTTCCAGAATCTGGGCAACATTGCAAAGCAGCTGACCATCACCTTGGCTTTACCGTAGCCCTCCTGCCTCCTTCTACCTTCTTTGTTTTCATCTTACCCTCAATTCTCAGGAATTACTTTCCCAAGAACATCCTGTGCTTTCAGGCTGAACTTTAGAACTGAAAAGGTAAAATTCTATTATCTTTACAATTATTAGAGGATCTATGCATGATAAATGCATTGCCTAATATTGTCCTGATTAAACACTCTGAGAAATAGAAGGTAAACATCTTGACAGATGAAGACGCTGAAGTTTAGGGAGAGAGAAAATATGTTTTGTAGATAGTATATCTAAAGGGGGAATCTAAGATTTTTTCACCACTTGTCCAGTACTTTTTCCAGTATTTTGTCATCTACAACCAAGAATAAAATTATAATGGTGAAAAGTAGGAAATAGAAAAGTTATTTTGGACAATATATTCCTTCAAGTCATATCAGTGGATCCAGTGTGCTGCTTAGGAGGAAATTATACACTTTGTATTAGGTGACCCTAAGCATGGATCCTTTCTACACTGAAAACATGGCCAAGTCATGTGGCTTTCCCAAGCCCCAGTTTCCTCATGTGGCTAGCACTTACCTTGTCTGACTGTAAAAAGATCAGTAGTAATAGATAATAGTTGCCAGTAGAGTTATGACCAGCTTGAAATGGCAAAGCCCACTCTTTTTGCTTAAATGAGTTAAATGTTCCAGATGGTTTGGGAAAAGGGTAAGAGTGAAACATTCAGCCACTCTGCTAAGGGGCTGAATTAGGGAAGGGGCAGCAGCGAGGGGGCTGGAACCTAGAATATTCAGCCTACACATGGGTGAGAGAAGACATGACTGCAATCAGACCAGGCGGTTTTTCCATCTACTTTACATCAAACCATTGGAGGAGTTAAAAATATTGCTCACAAAATTCTCTGATCTTATTTCATGCTAAAATGCTGTCATTAACCAGAACTTCCTAGAGTAGGACATCCTTGTAAACAAGAACTGTGTCTACTCTATCTTTGCATCATTGAAATATTTATGGAGTATCCATGTGCTGGACACTGTTAAATGAAGGAATCAGTGAAAAGGTATGCCTATCTATTTGGTAGATATGCCTTTTCCTTCCAGAACAAATCACATAGATGATTGAAACAGCAAGTCATTTCTGGGAGGGAAAGTATAAATTGTGTTGGTTTTCTGTGACCAAGGGGATGCAAATGAATGTCCAATGCCCTCGTCTACAGAAATCACACAATGTCAGGCCAAGTGAGGTAAATTTTGTAATAATATTGAAAATTTTAAATGTTGCCTTTCACACTGGTTATTTCCCAAAGTCACTAAAGAAGAAACCTTAGGACCCAGGGGTTGAGATGTTAGATCTTCTTTCAAAAGTAAACTCTAGCCCTTCATAGGTCCAGCTCCATGGGTGGGTGACACAACTGTCCAAGCCTCATCTGGAAAGTGGGAACAATGGCAGGACCTGCCCTAGGGCACTCAGGTGGGCCTTGTGTGAACTCAAGGAATGTGGGGCACTTGCTGCAGTTCCTGGCATATAGTGAAGGCTCAGTCAGTGGTGCCCTGGCTCTTGCAGCCATACCCGATGTTGGTTCTGTGTGAGAAAGCAGAGAAAGCAGAATCTGTGATTTGGGTTTGGAGTCCACTGGAGACTAGCACAGCAGCACCACCTGGACCTGGCGACCACTGTGTCACAATAGTAACCTGCAACTTCCTAAATTAGGGGAGAGAAGCCACTCCCTCTGTATCTGAGGATCTAAATGAAAAGACAGCCTTTTGACATATGAGAGACTTGCTCATAATTATGGTAAATAACACTCATTCACTGAAAATCCAGAAATAATCAAATCTTCTGAGATTAAGATACTACATTCACTTTGGACAACAGCCGAATTATCTTTGTTAGCATCTCTTTAAAAGCTTCATTGGAGAAATCAAGAGCTGAGAAAGCACTCAGTTCTTCTTGGAGAAAATAAATGACAAAAATAAAAAAATACATAGATATGAGGTCAAGAAATTGTGGCTATTCTATATGTAAGGAACTCCATTACAAAATGTAGCTTGTTTCTTCAGTCTCTAGTTATTTTTCTCATATCTTGAAACCAAGAATTTTTCAGCAGAAGCCTATAGATACACTTCAGAAATTTCTCAAATGTCCCCAATTTGAAGCAAAAATTTTGTCAAGAGAGCAGTGGAGGTGGTAGTATCATCTTCTTAAAAGTCTCTAATTCCTGAAAAACAAACAACAAAAAGGAACCATTGCTCTAAAAACCACCTCTGATGGAATGTAAGATGAAGTTCAAGATCTTCATTCTAGTCTTATTTTCTTGTTCTTTAATAATTCTTCTCACTTTCTCAATTTTCTCTTCTGCCAAGAAACAACATGAACTGGTACTCACATAAGGAAAAGGAATATATACAACACATTCTTAGAGCCTGGACACTGATTGGTTAGCCTTCTCCACACCCTCTCTAAAGTGCTTATATTCTAAAACATGATGACATCACGTGGGAAATTGCCTTGATGCCGCCGTGGCAGCCTCCAAGTCCATGATCATGCAAGTTTTACTAGAGGTGATGGAACAGAAAAGTTTGCAGGTCAAATAAAGATGTTGAAAGCCCAGAGCTTATTACATCAATTAAAATCCTACAGCAAGAGGCAAGAGGAAATACATGGGAATAGGTTTACCCATTTAGGATAGGATTCTACAGGAATGGAAGGACCATACTATTTGAAAATTCTGCAGTGTTCACATATCCTGCCTGTCCCTCATCCACCTCATCTTCCCCTGCTGAAGGAGTGTCGCAAGGATCAGAGTTCTTGCAAGACAGGGGACAGAAAAAAGGAGTCAGTAAAACATGCTTGCTGCTCCCCCCTCACCACTCCACCACCACCAAGAGAAGTAAGGGCAAGTAATTGAAATTCACCTTTTAGCCTGATAAGCTGCTGTGGGCACTAACAGGTGAACAAATTAAGACCTCAAAAATACTGAGTGCCTTATATGTATCATGTATGTTTAGTGTATTGAGGATACATGGTGCTTCATATATATTTAGCGCATTATAATTACTGTCCCCTTCATCTTTCCATTTCTATTTTTGTTCACACTTGCATGCTCTACTTATTTTATGTGTCTCAAAGACTACTTGCTGCATTTAACACATCATATGTATTTCATTCATCTCATTTACTTGGTCTTCTATAGAATTAAATATTCTTGAATAAGACAGAAAGTACACTTACAGCATGTAATATTTTCCCCTTTGAACATGAGTTCCAGGTTAACTTGGCTGCTTCTGAAGCAGAGAAATACAGTTTCTTCTTATTTGTTTACCGCAGCTTGAGAGACGGGACACATCTCATTTTGGTTGACTTGGAGTTTAATCCTTGTAGGGATACAAACCACAGTTGTTAGAAGAAATTCCTTTGTTGTTATATATCTCCTGGCCTTCTCACAAGATGAACCAAGTACTTGGTAGCCATTAGGCATGCCTGGATGTAGAAACAGGTTGATCTTTGAATCCCTAAGCACAGAAAGTACGAAGAGTGTGCAGGGGCCTGGGAAGACTCAAGCAGTCTATGACCCCAAAGCTCGCAAACTGTGGCTTTCTTATGCCCCTTTGAATGAATAGAAGTTCCCTCCTCTCTTTTTGTTGCCAGGGATGGTTCCTTTTTTTGAGGAATTTTCTAGGAAGCTGGCAGTGTACGAGGCAGACACTGCTCCCTCCCAACAGTCCCTCCCTCAACCCATTGCTGGAAGAGTGAAAACAAACACAATGGCTCTACTCGGTTGGTTTTATTTTCATTTTTTATTGAAAGCTTCATCAAAGAAAACAGAAGTTTAAACCTAACATCCACTGATCTACAGAAAGCCCAAGGAATGGGGAAATGGTAGCTAACTTGACTGTGGTACAGATGAAAAATTAAAAATAAAACCGGAAACACCATAGAATTACAGAACTTTCCATGACAATCAGAGACAGCAGTACAAAATGCTCGTAAATGGAGTTCGAAATTGAATGATGCTTCAGAAGTTCCATGAAGTCAAATATGGCCTGAAACAAGGGTTTTGAAGAAACTATGTCCCTTTTTTTTTAAGAAACTGAATATTTTATAGCAAGTACACTTTTACATCAATTTAAAAAAATTAAGATTACAATTATATTCTTCTTTTTAAATAAATGGAAGCATTAATTTCCAGAATGGAGAAAACATTTTCAAGGTCTCTTTGAAATAGTTTTTATAGTTCCTGAAAAGTATTAAATCATTTCTTTTTTATATGTGAGGAAATAACATATTTTTGGGAGGAGGAGAGAGCATCTTTCTTAATAATCTGGGACCAGAGGGTTTAAAATATAAAGGATAACAACAGTGCTACACTTGGACACTATTTTAATATGAAATGATTACAAAAAAATAGACTGGAGTGTCAAATTACTTAATATAGTAATGCAAAGTCAAAAATAAACAATTGTTTAATGAATTTTTTTCTTTTTGGTCAAAGATTTAAGAAAAGGCTGAGTGTATAGTTAACCAAGAGTTGCTATTATCATCTCATAACTCAATTTTGAGTTGACGTTTTCTACTAGTTCAAATTTCAATAGTTAACAAACAAAACAGCTTTCTTTTAAAGGAAGCCTAATTCTTTGCTACAGTTTTTTCCTTTATATTCTGCAAGAATACAGCCAACTCTTAATTATTTGTGGTGGGGAAAGGGGCATTATGGATAATTTCCTTCAATGCATCAATATTTAACAAGAAATAAAATAGACAAATAAAATAAAATTTGAATTTTATTTCCAAATGTTTATTTTCAACCATTGGGGTAAAATGTTAATAAAAGGAAATAGAGCCCAAGACCTAAAAGCTGAAAAGAGAAGACAAAACAAATCCACAAACTAGCCCTTCAATAATTGAGAGTGATTGTATTTCTGCAATACTCAGTCCAAGGGGCAGTTACTAACTAGAGAGAATGACATGGAAGAAAAGTGGGACTCAGTGGCCTAGCGGTCCTTTCTGCAGACTCCAAGCTTGATCTCACCTCTTCTACAGCTTTAAAGCTTCCTACATGGAAGCAGCTTTTCTCAAAACACTATTTTCCCTCCCTGAAATACAAGGAAATGAATATTGAGAAGCCATCCATTCTTTTTTGTGTGACAGTGAGCAGAGGTATAGGGACATAAAGCCAAAAATCAAAGAAATCACCAGTCAGAAGGGAGCCTCCCTGCCTTACATCATAAAAGATCTTTGGGCCACTCAGGGATCTTGTACTTAGCTTTTGTACATTCCTGAGCTCTACGTGGTCCACAAAGGACAGCCATGACCAGGGGCACTCGGATTAAGGGACTGCTTTCATATTTAAGAATATTTGGTAAGACGTGAAATCTGAGTGAGAGTCAACTGTCTTCCAATGCCACAGTGGATGCTATTTGTAATACAAATTGATTCATTAATGAAATCCCATTATCGTTCTGCTGCAGGAAGGGCATAGTGTACAGAATCAATGAGCCTCTTTAAATTACATCGGTCCCTCAGACTGGAGCAAGAGGTTGTCAGTCCCAGTGAGCTCAAAATTTTAAAGCATGCCAGCCACAATAACATGAGAAACAAAATCTCATCCTTTGCTCCCTTCTGTGGGCAAGATGATATAAATCAAGGCTCTATGACATGTTAAAACTTTATTAAGAAGTGAGAGCCCTCAAATGTGCCAAATGTTTTATACATATACATAAATATCCTTTCCTTTAATTTTCTATCATAGAAAAACATTTAACCCACTTAAGAATTTCTGTTTATCAGTTCATCTGCAGTGGTTTGTACAACTCAAGTTAAGACTGAGACTGAATTCTCAACTGTATTTGTAATCTCCAACTAATATTATCATCTGTCTAAACAGTATATTGAAACTTTTCAATCACGAAGGAGATGGCAAAAGTCCCATGTAAGTCAAATCTCACAGTCACTAGGGATTTTAGAGTACTGTAAAAGATATCTGGGTATATAGGACACATCCTAGTTATTCAAAATAAGTTTTTTTTGGGAAAAAAAAAGTCCTTATTTTTTGGTCATACATGAAATTGATTTTAAAGCAGTTTTGCCAGGGGTCTATATTCTGTCAACACGATGAACTTCCTGCTCCATCTAGCCTTCTGTCCTCAGTCTTTGGTCTCTATTATGGGTGCTTTTAACACCATGTAGTTTTTCATTGAAGGAGTGGATGTGAGTTTTATATGCTTTCCATTGTGGCAGATCTCTTAGGGTCACAGGAAGAATTGATTCAAGGGAAGCTTGGAGACAATACCTGAATGAAATCTAAGGATACCAACTAATCCTGGCCAAGCTAATCCCAACCACTGGTATCAGGCAGAGGATATTTTTTTTTTCAATATGGTGTCACTTGCAATATTCAAGACATGCCAGTGTTTTAAGGACAGACAGGGCTAATATTACCCCTTCAGTTCCCCTAGAGTCCATGATGTCTTTTGAAGACCCTGAGGAGCTCCCCAGTCTCTGTTCCTACCTTACCTCCCCTGACAAAACCTTATTGTTATTGACACAAAACCCATTCCTCCAGGGACCACATAATTAGATTTTGGATGAGATAGTGTTTATCCCACTTGGATGGTGGCTTTAGTTTTTTTCCTAATGTTTAGGCTAAGTCTTGGCAATTCAAGTCAAAAAGAAAAACTGGAAACATCTGAAAAAATGCTTGAAAGTCTAAACTAGAATACTTTAAAAAAAATGGTTACAGTCCTAAGTAGGATTAAAATCACCATAATACATATCTATCTTTGATTACATTAGGATTCGGTGTCTGTATATATATTGACCACGTATTTTGGGTTGTTCTATTTTTCACACAATGGGATGCTGCTTACCTGTTGACAGTTTTTTCTTTTGTTTTTCTTTCCCAGACTTGACTTGTAAAACAATTATTAGGTAAGACAACAGACGCAAATTTGAATGTGCCACTTTTTCTTTCTTTTCTTTTTTTTTTTCTTTTTGGTTTGAAATTAGATATTTTATAGAATGACATGATATAAAAAATCCAAACACAAAACATACATGGACATGTAAAACGACAGGTAATTTCCTTTTGCCTGAAGTGGTTTAAAAAAAATATGGAGGTCATTGAAATTTCATAGTTGAAAAGAATGTTTCTGAATGTACAAATAAAGCAGTAGTTTTGAATAGAAACAAGAAGTTACCTAGGCATCTCCCCCAGCCACAGGGTAGTTACTCTTAGCCTCTTTGTCGATTGTGTAAATGAGACTTTCTTTGCATCACGTTATTTTTTTTCTTTTTTAACAGAGGTAAAAGAAAGTCTGTTGCCTTCATACTCAAATGAATTATGCCCAGGATAATCCTTATGTATACAAAAAGTTGAGAGACTGAAAAAGCCAAACAGAAAACACAGTTCCCATATGCGTTTGCTTACACCCCTTGGACCTCAGGGCCCACTTCTCAAGGGTAAAACTTAAGTGCTACCCACAAAATACATGAGAAGCTGAAGGATGGGAGAGAAGAAAGTACAAATCTAGGATTCTCTCTAAAGCATAGCAAACCATAAGGGTGGGTGTGGCCAGTTGGAATTTTTCTGTAGCACATGCTACATTTTCTTGGATATGTGTTTGCTTTTTTTTTTAACTGCAAAGACAGGGAGTCACTCTCTAGATCTGAGTCTCCAAAACATAAAGTTTCAAATAAGAGAACCAGGTCTATTCGAACACTAGGCCTTTGTTTATGTCATAAATAGCACAATATTGACAGTTTCATATGAGTCAAACTCATTACTCATGTTGACCTAATGGGAATACAATTTACCTCTTTTTTTCTTTTCTTTTTTAGGTTTTAAAAGCCTACCCTGTTTTCTTTTACAGTGCATTTAATGCAGTTCCCTCTTCCCTCTGGACTAAGACAGGTACCTGTGCCTTAGTTTGTGGAAAGAGTTTCACCTATTTGATTCTATAATCCCAACCACTGGTATCAGGCAGAGGATATTTTTTTTTCAATATGGTGTCACTTGCAATATTCAAGACATGCCAGTGTTTTAAGGACAGACAGGGCTAATATTACCCCTTCAGTTCCCCTAGAGTCCATGATGTCTTTTGAAGACCCTGAGGAGCTCCCCAGTCTCAGTTCCTACCTTACCTCCCCTGACAAAACCTTATTGTTATTGACACAAAACCCATTCCTCCAGGGACCACATAATTAGATTTTGGATGAGATAGTGTTTATCCCACTTGGATGGTGGCTTTAGTTTTTTTCCTAATGTTTAGGCTAAGTCTTGGCAATTCAAGTCAAAAAGAAAAACTGGAAACATCTGAAAAAATGCTTGAAAGTCTAAACTAGAATACTTTAAAAAAAATGGTTACAGTCCTAAGTAGGATTAAAATCACCATAATACATATCTATCTTTGATTACATTAGGATTCGGTGTCTGTATATATATTGACCACGTATTTTGGGTTGTTCTATTTTTCACACAATGGGATGCTGCTTACCTGTTGACAGTTTTTTCTTTTGTTTTTCTTTCCCAGACTTGACTTGTAAAACAATTATTAGGTAAGACAACAGACGCAAATTTGAATGTGCCACTTTTTCTTTCTTTTCTTTTTTTTTTTCTTTTTGGTTTGAAATTAGATATTTTATAGAATGACATGATATAAAAAATCCAAACACAAAACATACATGGACATGTAAAACGACAGGTAATTTCCTTTTGCCTGAAGTGGTTTAAAAAAAATATGGAGGTCATTGAAATTTCATAGTTGAAAAGAATGTTTCTGAATGTACAAATAAAGCAGTAGTTTTGAATAGAAACAAGAAGTTACCTAGGCATCTCCCCCAGCCACAGGGTAGTTACTCTTAGCCTCTTTGTCGATTGTGTAAATGAGACTTTCTTTGCATCACGTTATTTTTTTTCTTTTTTAACAGAGGTAAAAGAAAGTCTGTTGCCTTCATACTCAAATGAATTATGCCCAGGATAATCCTTATGTATACAAAAAGTTGAGAGACTGAAAAAGCCAAACAGAAAACACAGTTCCCATATGCGTTTGCTTACACCCCTTGGACCTCAGGGCCCACTTCTCAAGGGTAAAACTTAAGTGCTACCCACAAAATACATGAGAAGCTGAAGGATGGGAGAGAAGAAAGTACAAATCTAGGATTCTCTCTAAAGCATAGCAAACCATAAGGGTGGGTGTGGCCAGTTGGAATTTTTCTGTAGCACATGCTACATTTTCTTGGATATGTGTTTGCTTTTTTTTTTAACTGCAAAGACAGGGAGTCACTCTCTAGATCTGAGTCTCCAAAACATAAAGTTTCAAATAAGAGAACCAGGTCTATTCGAACACTAGGCCTTTGTTTATGTCATAAATAGCACAATATTGACAGTTTCATATGAGTCAAACTCATTACTCATGTTGACCTAATGGGAATACAATTTACCTCTTTTTTTCTTTTCTTTTTTAGGTTTTAAAAGCCTACCCTGTTTTCTTTTACAGTGCATTTAATGCAGTTCCCTCTTCCCTCTGGACTAAGACAGGTACCTGTGCCTTAGTTTGTGGAAAGAGTTTCACCTATTTGATTCTAATGAACCATTCAGAAAGCAATTCTAGTATGTAGTTCAATTAACAAAGTTCCATTGTCCTTAATTTCAGATAAAACTGTACAGGATGAACATGGATTTCATGAATCAAATATGCAGAGCTATTTGTGAAGTCAATTTAATTCATTTTAGACAAAAGTTTGGCGTTACTCTCAATGCAAATATATTTCCTTTGGCTTTAATGATTGATCAAACCTAATTCTTTTGGTTCTTATTAATATGAATCATACAATTTCTTGATTGTCAACTAGCATTTTAAAAGCTTACCTAAATTTCACTACTGGTATCCTCAATCTTACTGGTCCTACTTGCCTCAGAGAGGTAAACTGAAATAAAAAGGTCTATTTTGTCTTTCTTCTCACAACACCAGGATGTATAAATATAATGAAAGAAGGCAAAAGGAAGAAGTCTCCTCCCCAAATGCAGAATCAAGATGCCTATTCATGGTGGATGATGACAAGGACTGAGGGGACCAGACAAACCCCAGAGGTGTTGGAATTTAGAAGGAAGACTATTGTCACAAATACTCTGAGGCCTTTTCAGGAGAGCGTTCACCACTTAATGGACTATCACTAAGCTGTTCTGACAAATGACCTTTCAGACCAGTTCAGGAAGTACCTTCCATTCAACATTCCCATAAATTTCATCTGTTAAACAAGTGTCTTGGCTTATTGGTGGCCATCAATATAGGTTTCATTATTCAAAAGAGCTACTAAGGAACCACAAAAGCTCACAAAATCTAAAGTCATTTGGTTCAATCTGTTGGTATCCAGAACTCTTCATATTCAAACTGCCAAACAGCAGGTGCAAGCTTCTACTATCAACAAATACACTTAAAAAAAAAAAAAAAGACAACTTTTTTCTTTTTTTTTTTTTTTGCACTATGTAAAACACCAGTGGAAGGTAGTTTAAACGAACAACACAGTCAGAACTGGTCCGGCCATGTAGTTCAAATAAAATTTTAAAAAGAAAAGAGAAGGAAAGAAAAAAAAAACTTCTATTTTCTGGACTGCAATAGGGTGCCACTTCATCTTTGGTATAAAATAGGCCATCCATAGGCTGAATTTGATCACAACTAGGAAAGACTACAGAAATTGTCAACAATTTCTCTATCTATTGCTTTTTTTGTTTGTTTTTTTTTTTCTGTTTTTGCACTTTTTGACCATAAGCTCCTATCTACTTAAGTTTTTTTTTTAATGCTCTTAAGCTAGGTTTTGCAATGTGACAAGCAAAGCTGACTAAAAACTTTGTAAAGCTCATAAAAAAGACTGCAGATAAAAAGCACTAATGTTTTTGCTAGCAATCACGCCTCGTAAATTAAAAAAATCTGCATTCTGCCCCCCAAACACGCATTATTTCTAATGCAGTTGTTTTTAAACCAATGTTAGTAACTTCTCCATAAAATGTTTTAGCCTTCTAGAATGACTGAACACTTAAGACAAAGTTCATGAAAAGTCCCAGCATTTTCCCAATTCTTGCCGTTGCCAGTTTCCTTTATCAACAAATTTTCTTCAAATGAAGAAAAGCATTTTCTTTTAAACTGTACAGTTTTTTTCACCCTAAAAACTCATAGTCTTAAACTTCTGTACCAGCTAAAGCTGGCACAATATTTCAATTCTTTCTTGATATTTTTTTTAACAAGACGTTGACAGCTTGCCTCGAGAGCTTTTGACGTCCTTAAAATTAAGGCAATTAAGATTCAAGATAAACCTTACCTATATTTCTAAGAAAAAAATAAAATAAAAATCCAACCCACTAGATTTCAACAAGGGAAAAAGAAAGAATAGCTTAATTATTGAGGAAGACAATTTGTTTCCATTTCTGCTTGCCCACCTCTTGACATCAGAATTTTTGTTTTTTTTAAAAAAAAATCTATCTACACCTTCAGTTGAATTGAGTTCAAATATTCTTCCAGATAAAATTTCAACCTTCTCTGCTTTGTTTGTAATGTATGTGTGTATGGTCTTGTTTTTGTTTTCCTCTTCTGGTATTTGTTTCTTTAGTTAAAAAAAAAAATGATGGCAAAAATAAACTGTTAGACCACATGAAGGAACCATTTGCACAGCACATAAAAACACCTTTTTTTCCATTGGATAAGTAGGAAATTAAAAAAGAAAAAAGCATTCCATTGACGCCTGTGCAAACTGGAAGCCAGCTTCTTGTTCAATGAAGTTTCTTCATTCAAGGCAAAGTTTCAGACATTCTTCAGTCTTGTTCACGGTCTGTGAAAACAATCGAATGAGTGGTCATTACATCAAAGCAACTTTGAAATCATCTTCTGTGCTCTTTTCCAGGGAAGTCTCTTTAAAAAGATTACTAAACCCTTGCAATACAATAGAGTCATCAAGAAAGTTGTATAAGCACATTGGGCTTAAGTAAGTATCAAATTCTGCCACTTTCACACAAATATGTATTTGAACCAGAGAGTTTATTCACATTAACTATCGAGGCTAATAGGTCAAGAACACTTTTCAGTTCTAAAGTAATAAATATTACAAATCAACCCAAGCAAGCAATGCTCCCTATGGTCATGAAGCCTATTTCCCGATGGCTGGCTGATGAGGCAGCTCCCCCAGAAATTCTTTGAGTAATGCTGTCTCTTCCGAACTCCCATGGGACTCATCACTGACTCAGTCAACAAAGATGTGAGTCCCTACTATGTATCCAAGAACAGCAATGGATTGCATATTCTCTTGTGGTATTCACTACATATATTCACAAAAGCCTAATTGGTCTAGTAAATAAGTAGGGAAATTAAGAGGGCAATGAAGTTTTCTTCCCCTCACCTCTTCTTTTCTTCCTTGCTCATCCATCTCATCCAGATTTTACATTCTTGAGAGCAGGGACTATATTTTACTTTTATTTTTTACTCTCCAGAAGTCTGGCAGAATGCTATGCACATAATAGGTATTTAGCTAGACAAATGTCATTTTTACTATATGCCACTTTGCCTAATCCAGCCCAAATAATGTCTTCTGCTTCTGCCTCACCACTTTTGCAGGGTTGAGCTTCTATTGGGTTGACCTTTCGGTTTAGCTCTTCCACTCACGGATTAGAATTTTGTTAAATGACTTCAGGGGTGTGCTATAAAAACGAGATTTTTTAAAACTATCTGTAGGTCATATTTAGATGAAAGTTTCTTCTCTGTTCTCTGCAGGTTCTTCTGATGCCTGGTTACTTAATTCAGGAAGGAAACCTCAGCGTTGCTGGGTATAGTTGTATAGGTTGTTTACTGGGCAAGTAAGATGCATGGCTGAGGAAGGGTGTTGGGGCTAAGTTCCAGCCCCCACTCTGTTCCCCAAGCTATATAGTCTGATGCAGAACCACATTTGATCTAAGCAACAGGGCCTTAATCAAATTCACAAAAAGCCCTCAACAGTGTTTTGAACTGTATGACAGTTGATCACCCAGTTCCTTTTCTAATTTGCAAAAATCCCTTATAAGAATCAGCTGTGTCTTTTAGAAGCCTGAAGAATTCATCCCTAGAATCATGCAAGGAAAGCAACTAGTTGATAATCAAATATTTCCATTTTTAACCAATAGTTTAAATCTCTAGCAATACATTTTTTCCTATGTTATATGAGAAAGTGGAATTTCTTTTAAAATGAAATGCATTAAAATTTTTCATAATAGCAGCTACAATAAGGAAAATTTTAGTAGTAGTTGTTAGGGGAACCCTGGTGTATATTTGCTCTCTCACTATACCTTTGTAAATTGCACACTTTATTTATTTCTAAAAATCTATCTTGCTGGAAACAAAACTATTTTTATCTTGGTTTTGTGTGTTTGTTTTATGGTCTATTCTTTGTTCCCTTTCCCATCTATCCTGCCGATTGAGCAGAAAATGCCCAATACACCATGAATGTACCTAATACACCTCTATAAGAGCAGCTCAATGAATGGTGTTTTACTCAGTGAACGATATGGACACAAAACATGCTCACTGCTCACGTATGTCATATACACTGGTCTCCAAGTGTCCATACTTGTGAGATAGGATGGAGCTACTTTCAATCCTGACACACATGTTTCCAGTAGTCCTCTCCTATCACTTCTTTGATACTTCAAGTGGTCTCACTGCTACATGAAAACAAATGAGGAGAAACAAATGGTTGTACTTTACATTTTCATGGTTGCTAGCTGAAATCTGAAGTGAAAAGGTATTGCTACTTAATAGAACTGAATTTAGTCCAGTCCACCTTCTCTGTTCTAGATGAAGTATGAAAGTACACATTTACATAATGTTACACAATTACATAATGCTTACGCATTGCACTGATACCCATAAAAATAGAAGGTTTTTAAATATTCAAGTCTGTGATCATTAGCAACAAGAATGTTTTAAGTTGGGCAGTGAGACTATTTTAGAAATAAAGTGGGTTGCAACTTCAGGAATCATGCGAATGAGATAATGAGTACAAAAATCATTTGTGAACTGTAAAGAACTATGCAAAAAGAATGTATTATTACTCACAAGTTTAAAGGATATGTAAGGATGTTAATCAAGTAATTTGCATATTATTAATATGCTGACAGTGATTAGGGAATTGGTGCTCATGTCAGTTCAGTTAGCCAGAGAAGACTTGAAGAATAAAAAGACCTTGCCATACTTGGTCTAAGATTAAGGGCCTTCTAAGGTCAGTGTAAATGGTGAAAGACTCATAGATAATGGAATCTATAATCATTTTAGAGTGATTTTGAACTTTCTTATCCTCTTTGTGTCCCCCATTCCCCCAAAAAGCAGTGTGAACAGATTAGGAAGAAGAAACCATAATTTTAAGACTCTAGACTTTTAGACTTGGAAGTTTTAGGGATCATCTACTGACAGAATGATCCCTGAATCACTCCTGACCTATAGCTTCATGTGACGCCATGTGGAAAGAGAGTGTCTGTGGTCCAGAGTTTGGGAAAAACTGCACATCTACTCCCACTACTGGATTACTCATAGGTAAACTAAACAAGTGGTTGGGACACCAGCAAAGAAGTATTGATACAAAAAAATTTTTAATTAGGATCAAAATAATCATCATGTTGACAATAAAAAATTTATTAGAGTTCTTTAATAATTAAATACGATGAAAAATTCTCCTAGAATCCCAAAGGAGGAGGGCAGCACAGACCCTAATTTTTCAGGAAGTAAAACATTTGAAGTGTTTATCTGGCCCTCTAGGAGGTCACGGCTATTAGCATTTCAACAGCTTTGAAGAGAATTACAATTAAGAAAGTTTTTCTTTTAGGTTAAAGCAGTTTCCCAGCATTGCTTTTGACTACCCCTTCCCACCTCAACTCCAGGGGATAGTGGTAAATCCTCCCTCAATACAAGAGACCTAATTTGTACTCTTTGGAGAACTCTGATCTAAGCTCTTACTTTAAAGAAGAGGAAAAGGACGCTCCAAAAGGTTGAATAACAGCTACTAAGTGGCAAAGAAGGAATTTGAACCAAGGCTTTCTCATTTTGCATATTAGAATTTAACTTTGATTCAAGACTCCTACGTTTCAGGTCCTAGTTATTTTTAAGATTTTTCTATATAGCACAAACCAAAACTGATAGTAAATAGGGCAGGGATTGCAATTTCCATAGAACTTCCAAAATAAACCCATGTCTCATTTTTGTCTTCTGGGATAAGAGATCAGAGTCTCTTTTGCATTAAAAGCCTCTTTTAACAATAGATAGAGAGAGAGAGGAAAAAAAGGATGAATACAAAATGTGGATATCTGATTTTTATCTTGGAGAGCAGAATTTGGACTAATTAAAATACTTGCCAACATAAATCCCAAATATAACCTTTGTATTCATATGCACATGATTTATATTTCTCAAGCTTTTATCCTAAAACCTTCTGTTGTAATGTAATTTACTTTAAAATATCTTTAGGATAGACATTATGGTGTTAAATGTACATGTGATGGGTTCAGCTATTCTGCAGAGGCACTCAGCTACCCTAATCAGAATTTCACACCCCACAGGAGGTCAGCTATCATTTAATGAGAAAGGCCAGAGGTTTATAGAAGGACTTTAAACTATCCATATCTCAATTAGCATAATGATTGTTAGAAATGGGTTGCCTGATAATAGTAGTGGCATGTTAATTAGCATAATGGTGCTGGAAATGAGCTGCTATTTGTGAAATTTGTAGTATTCAAAATAATGAGGAGTGGCTAACCTATTTTAGAGATGCTCTTCTCTCTACACAAAGAGAAAAGATATAAGAATGTAGGGAAAATTGTAGCCTACCATTTTGGGATTAAATTTAAAATAAGACTGTCTTGGAGTAGATTTCTCATGACCTCTATCAGGATAACATAGCCCTCCATCTAGGAAATAATCAAATCTAACCTGAATGAATTTTTCATGTTAAGTGTGTTCAAATTAAAAGAACGTTGCTGGAACTTTATCAAGTATAAAGGGAAAGCTGTAGAGACTGATTTGTGCCTGTTTCCTAATGAATGCTTCCTTACCAACGTCTCTGCGAGAGCTCTTGCATCTCTCAAACTTTTCTCAGTGATAGTTACACATGCAAAAGAACCCAGGTGTATACATGATCCGAATGCTTAGCTCAATTCCCAGGGTCTTCCTTAGATGGTGCTGTGGAATCTCATGTCTTACCATGACACCGGTCACCTTCTCTTGGCTGAAACTGACAAACACTTGGACAGAGTGACATTAATTTCTTCCTTTCACAGAATTCCAGAAGTGGTTGTCATCCACCAATTTATTTGACTTTGGATATTGTTTTGTTTTCATTCAATATTTTAACTGTTGTTGTTTCAAGTCAAAAGCTCCCAGCACTTTGTAGCATGTCAAAGAGAGGAAGCTGAGAATACAAACAGTACCCGTTAAAAATTTTCTCCAGATTTAAAGAAATGTCTGCAAAGCAATGCAAGTGGTTTTCACATGTCACACATGGGAACGTTCCATGTTCCATGTTCCAGGGTGCTTTCATCTCTGGCAAACTGTAGCAACAAGCATGCCCTGTGGAATATCCCGTATTATGCATTCATACAGGAGTGCAAAAAAAATTCCTTCAAGTGGGGAAAATCCTTACCTTTTTATTTATTTTTTTACCACTGTGGAACACTGGATGGAGAATTATTTCCCTTGATATACATTATCTGCTGACCACTCAGCATTATCCACCATAAGAATCCATAGGTCAAGGCACATTACCATGGTGTAGCCATAGTTTTAAACACATTTAAACACTTAAAGTTTCATGTGGTCAGACTCAGACATCCTCAAATATATCCAAGAACAAAATTTCTTTGAATTGACTCCTTATTAGGACAGTTAAGTGCCTGTCTTTCTCCACAAATCAGAGCTTCCTTGGTTTTTATCTCATCTGCTTTTCAATGGCATCAATAATTCCATCATTGTGCTTGGTATTTTAAACCCTCTGTGATTTCTTTTTTCTCTTACTATATTTCACCCACTCCACCCCCACTATTATACTTGCCACCATCTTATATCAGACCTTTGTTCCCTCTTGTCTGCATCATTGCAACAGTAGGACTGGCTCTAGGGAAAATGGAAGTTCCCATGGCCAGGATCCTCATCTAACCCTAATCTACTTGATGATGTAATAGGTTAGTGCTTACACAGCCCTTGGCAATAAGGCAATATTGCATATGTTGCTATATAAAGAGCTCTGCCCAGTGCTTGTGGCAGAGGAGATGCAAAGTCTGGAGCAGAGGCAGAGCCTGGAGCAGAAAGCAGAGCCTTGAGCAAGGCAGAGCCTTAAGGAGAGAGCAAGGAGGTGGAGACAGAGACGGAGACAGCCTTGCTGCATGCAGACTGCCCCAGAGGCAGGCATGATTCCAGCACTTGACCTGACACCATGAGAATAAAGCTTGGTATAAACTCTTTTACCCCTAACATTTTTCAGTCTCACCAAATCCAGAGTGAACTTGCCTGGGGCAATCCTCCTCAGGTGAGACACTGGCTGTTTGCATTGCTTCTAAATCCATTCAGCTGGAAGAGCACGCAAAGAATGAAGGAAATACATCCAAGCTCCTCAGTAAGGCCCCTGATACCAGAGTCTGGGCCAATCTGCCTTTTCACAGTATTCCACTACTCTGCATGCACTTCTCAAAGAAACACTATGAGTTTTCCCACTCCTGGTCATTGGCCATGCTGTTACTTCACCTGGAACATTGCTCCACTACCTGTAAGATCAGCTCTAGGGATCACAACCCCCAACAACATCTTTACCCAGCCAAGAAAAAATTAAATATGTCCTCCTATTACTATACTATTTAAGGAACCTTATTCATTTTCTTCCTTGCAGCATATGTATCTTGCCTATGTATAAGTCTAAACCCTATCCTAGATTGTAAAACCCTGAGGGCAGGGGTTCGGTGTCCCAGCAGAGAACCTGGCACGATGCTGGCCTAGGTGTGGAGGTGATGGGTTGATGCTCACCAGAATCCATGAGAAGCGGGGGGGTCTGGGTCGGGCAGAGCATGCCCCATACCATATCGTGCAATGAATGAAAGGTTGGGAAGATCCTGAAAGCCATCCTTGAAACACATCCCTCCATACTCAGACTCCATTGGTAATAGAGGCATCGACATGTAAATCAAGTCCTGTCTGTCATTCCTGCTCTTAAAAGCCCTCCAAAAGTGTTGCAGCTCTCTTAGAATAAAATGGAGAATAATTACACAAACCACATATACAAGGACCAAAGGCTGAAGAGAAGCCACCTGTTCAGTGTCATCTCACCTACATCTCCCCTAGTCCACCACACTCCATCCTCAGATCCTCCCTCAGGACTTTTCAACTTCTTGCTTCTTCTGCATAGGATGCTTTTTCTCCAAATGTCTTCAAGATTAGCTTGGAGCTATCATTCAGACCCAGACCTGTATGAGATGCCTTCCCTGATACCAAATCTTAGGTATTTATATAGTCATATTCCTTCACAATAATCTTTTGCAGTCATCTGCCTTGCAATTCTATTTATATTTGACCGTTTGCTCATTGATCAATCGATTGTGCATCTACCCCTACCAGGAAGTAAACTCCAAGCGAATGGAGGAGCTGTCCACCTCTTTCACTGGTCTTTCCCTAGCATCTGGAATCCTGCCTGTCCCCTAGTAGGCATTCAGTTGATACTTGTTGATTGGATGAGTGGAAGTATCTTTTTCATTTACCCAGATATCATTAAACTGTGAGTAAAAGGGTCTAGGACCACTCATCATGCTTTGAAATAGTCAAGGGCAGGTTCACCTGTTCACCAAACCTTTAAAAATGTTTCTGGCCAACACAGGGTCCCTCACCTTCCACCTATGCCTCTTGCTGTGCTTTCACATAGCCACCCATTTCTGCTCTTTCCTCACATGTAAACCACTGAGCAGACTGAGAACAAAATCCACGATACTTGGAGCAGAGTTCCTGAGACAGTAGTCTTGTTGGGTGCATGTAAAAGTGATTCACACAGGCCACAGGTAAAATTAAGAAAAAAATTAAGAAACCCAACATACTTTATACACTATAGATCTTCCCTGAGTGTTATTATGTGATAGTAATAATCATAATAAAAGTAGTAATAATAAAATACCTTGTATTTATAAGGTTAAGTCATGCTCTAAGCACATTTAATTTGGAGGACTGACTTTAGAAGCTAGACCATATATAGGAGACTCATTACCATGATTAATCCTTCAACAACAAACAAATCCCTAAGCACGTGGGGAGGCTAAAGAGGAATGAAGATTAAGAAATGGAACAACAGACAGGAGGGAATTTTTGGGAACACTCTATTTAGCAGGGCTTCGACTGTTATCTACAAAGTAGGACAGTTTTCATGACAAGACATTTATATATAGTCTGAACTTCTGCTGATTCCTTTGGTTTCAGTCAAAACCTCTCAAATCTTAGTGCACATACTCAACACAAAGTCAACTGTACTTTGCTTTATAAATGATTTAAGATGAATTTTCAAGAGTAGTTCTGACTACCTGACTTCTGCTTTGCCATTTCATTCCTAAATAAGACTCCGTGTTGTTTTATATTGACAATACCCTTCTTTCATGAACTATTTTCCTGGGTGTTTAAAGCAACCCTGTAAGGAGAGTAACTGTTTTCATTTAAGAATGAGGTAACTGAGACCCAAATGGAGGCTCATTATTTAGTTTCAAGTGGGAATATTGGAGTTTCTCCAAACATACATATGGTAGATTTTTTTTTTTTTAATGGTTGCAATGGTTCACTCTGTTTTCAAGCCTCTTGGTAGTGAGCTCCAACGTTAATTTTGGGCTTGGCCATGTGACCTGCTTTGGCCTATGAGGCATCAGCAAATCAGTCACAACCAGAATTGGAAAATGCTGGTCAGTTGGGCTTCCTCTCTTGCTGTTCTCCAGATTCTGAGACTTTCGTGTGACTCAGCCTCGTGGAGGATCAGAAACTGCTGATTTCTGCTGGAGGTTCAACTGCTTCCATCGCTCAACCAACAGACAACCGACACTGAGAAGCTGAGCTATGGAAACGACCAGCAGCTATCCCCAAATGCTTGAGCAGGTCCAGTCAAGTCCAGAAGGACTTTCCATTTGAGACTGGCCCAAATGGCCAACCCACTAATCATGAACTAAATAAACTCCTGTCACTAACATGGGACAGTCTGTACCTCTGCAAAAACCAGCAGATACATGAGAGAGTGATGCCCAGATGACTCCTCTTGAGAAAAGGCATTCAGTACAGCCCAGACTTACTTAGACTGTTGGTAGGAATATGCAGGTACGTGTTCGTTGGACGTGTCCACTGTTATCTGCTGCTGTTGACCGCTCGTGTCCTGGGATGAAGGGGCCACTGTCTGGGGAGAGGTATCGGCAACGACGCCCTGAGGAGGCAGATAAAAGCACAAAGCCTTACTCGCTTCAGCAAAGCACCTTCTTCCAGGTGGACGGTAGGGGACACCCCTCTTCTAGTGGGCCTGAGCAGAGTCACACTCAGATACAGGAACCCTCAACAAGTCCTCACAGGGAAAACCACAGAGCACATTCGGAGAAGGGCTGAGGAGTTCACGTCTGTGCATTACCAAGACGCCTTGCCATCAGAGGTCCCTGGAGCAAACGGTCAGAAAATCATTCTACCCATACTTAGAACTTTTAAACCATGACTGCATACAGGCACTCTAAATAATAATTCAGTAATCAAAAACAAAATGCATGAAGGATTCCTCTACAAATGTGTATGTTCAGAACATTTTCCTGGCCTAGTGCACTGTACTGTCTCCTGTCTCTCTATGATTTGGCAAAACCATGGACTCTGACTTAAAAAAATCGACATCCAAGATTGGAATTCTTTTCAGAGAACACTGTTAAATAGGCTTTCCTCTCAGCAGTTTGGTATGTTTTATTTTGCTTTGCTTTCTATGACATGAACTAGGATTCTCTTAAAGGTTTCAGAAAACAAACATCTTGGATTTGGATTTATTCACTTTCTTACCCTTCCAATCTCATTTCTCACAGATGCCCACAAGAACAGGTATCTGGAGGCGGTTCACCCTGGGAAGTGTGTTTGGTTCTGAATCAGGCATAGGCTGTGTTTTTTGGTGGTAGTAGGCCTAACAGGGGGCATCCTCCTGAATACATTCTCCTGGTTTTACTCACGTAGCCTTGGACAGCTGTAATCATGTCAGGTTTCAAAAGCTCCTGCTCAACTCTCTGTCCGTAATGATCTTTGAAAGTGTTCCTTAGAATCCAAAATTCTCCCTATATTAATTCAGTCTTTTTTTCCACTATGCCATTTAGTATTATGCATTTTTCGGAGCTCCACTCCGCACCCCAACTCTCCCCGTCAGCATGTATTTGTTGTCTGGATACTCGTAAATTTTCAATGAGTGTTTTTCCATAGAAAATTAATCAGTGCTTTTCCTCATCAGCACAAATTCAAGGCAATATATCAGAGTGTACTTGTATTTTTCCTAATGAAAGACTTACTTTTAAATCTCATGTTTAACTATAATTAGACTGTTTCCGATGAGTCACACTGTCAAATGTGTCTCATTTTATGGTCATTAAAATGCTCAGATTCTATAGTGAAGAATACCATGTGGTGTAGACATGGAGAAATGCAAATATGTGGCCCAGATTGATGCTTAATGTACCTTGAATGCCTAGATTCATGATTTGATGGCATAGGTGCTTTTTGATGGCTACATATAACAACAAAAAAAAGTATTTTAATCACATATTCTTGAAATTCTAAAAAGCCAGTAAAAACCTGTTTAATCCTGACACATTCTTTGGGGCCCACAGGTCTGGAATACATAAGATTTAAAAATTGGACTTCTTTGGCTTCGTAAATTCCATATGTCCTCTTAAACTTCTGTGTTTCTCAAACCTTGTTACTAGGATGTATTTGTCATACACCAAAAGCAAACAGAATAACCCCCAACAGTGTGTAAGATCCAACTGAGTCTGGAAAGAGTTTCCCCAGTTTCTGTAGCTCTAGAGGCTGGGCAGTCATGGTAGGCCTCCCTGGGGGAGCAGTGCCAGTGCATCAGTTGCTGGTCAACTCACGAAGTAGGAACAGAATCAACACCAAAGGAGTCCCAGACGATGGGAGGAAATCCACTCTGACCATAATGGCAAATGTCACAGGGGCCAGCAATAACAACAGCTAGAAGCAGGGAGAAGTACTCATATTTAAGGGTTTCACCCTCATCCTGATAGCTCTACGCCCCCTCCTTTTCTGTGCAGCTTGCTGACTCTGCCCAGTAAAAAGTGGGGATGGATTCAGCCTCATGGAAAGAGAGAAGGAAAGGGACAAAGCTTCTATTAAGGACAAAATGACTTCCTCATTCACGGGGTCCACAGCAATAAGAGTGGTACAACTTTTTCTTTCTTGTCGGTAGGAAGTCACACACCTGCCTGGGCTCATTCACTAAAGCAGTGGTTATAGGTTTTTGATACATAGGCGAATCACCTGAGGACTTTTAAAAATCCTTATGTCCACTCCATTACCCAGACAAATAAATCAGAATCTCTGGTGAAAGGCTCCATGTCTAAATATTTTTTAAAGCTCTCAAAATAATTTTAAAAAAAAGTTTGAGAATCAGTGTACTAGCCCAGTGTCCCTTAAATTTTAATGTGCACCTCAATCTCCAAAGGGTGTTGTTAAAATGCAAATTCCAATTCAGTAGGCCCAGGTCTTGTCTAAGGGTTTGCATTTCTAAAAAGCTCCCTAGTGGGGTCAATGATGCTGAGCCAGGGTCCACTCTGAGCAGTAAGTCCCTGGAGAACTACCTCATTCAAATAGTCACAACCTTTCTCTCCCCTCCTTATTTAGGAGTGTTTGTGGTTGACATTGGATGGGATCATGATTTGGTCTCTAATATTTTCTCTAACTAGGAAAATCACACTCCTCTCACATATAGCAAATCAGCTTATTTCATGTGTAAAGCAAAACAGAGTCATGGTCAAGGGAAGGTACATACTTTCATATACTGAGATGGCAGTTTCAAGTTTTAGAGGAGCCCAAAAATCACACATAAGGATTCCTTCGGTTATAGGGAACCCCAGCATATGTGGCTGAGATTTATCTCTCCTAATCTCTTTCTGTAAGACAGAAACAGACTTACTTCAATAGAAACAGCTGTCGGAGGCACAGGCGTGTACTGGGGAATGTAGGTCCCTTGCATAGGAGCCGCAGCAGTCATATACTAGAGGGAATCAAAGAAAAATGCAGTTGAACTTGGGATTGCAACCAGAGAGAAAAGTACACATCACATGAGACTGTTTCAGGTGTGTGGTCCATGGCTGGTGCATGATGAAGTCAAACTATATTTTGACCAAAAAGTAAGGCAGTTCTATCAGCACAGAAAGACCTTGTTGACTGATTCAGTACCAACCACAGCCTACATCCACACTCTCAGTACACATAAATATCTACCCCCTCATTCCCTCATTTTGTCTTTTTCAAACATTCTATATCAATTTCCAAACACTTCATTTTCACAACTAAAACATAAACTCTAGGAAAGCAGGGATGATGTCTGTTTTGTTTTGCTTTTTCCTCCATTTTATTGCTTGCACCTTCCCACAGTAAGCTCTCAACAAATTATTTGTTGAATGAATGAATCACTGTATTGTTAGCACATTTCTTTTTTAGTTAAAAAGAAAATAGCAAGAAATACTTATGAAACAATATTCAGAATTGGTCAATGTTATCTTGTATCATTTTTGCATCACAATTATATACATATATAAATAAGTGTTGCAGATGATGTGGAAATTTCCTTTGTTTCCTTTCCCTCACGCCAGTCGCATGTCATTGTCAGTATTTCCTTTTCAACTCCTTTAATTCTTGAAATTTTCTTCATCTGGATGAACAATGAAACAGTCAAATCATTTTTCACTAAGTTGTAGTTTTCAGTAAAATATGCATTGGGAATAACATGTCTATTTTTACAATGCAGAAAGGGAACCCCAGGAAAATGACCTACTCACCTATGTAAGCAGAGAGCATGAACCACAGTCCTATTTCTAATACACATTCACTCTGCAAATTTGAAGATGTAATCTCAGAATGGAATTGCTCTACGGAATTCACTCTGTTCCTGAGTTTCTACGTTTGACCAATGTCACAAAACTTCAAAACCAGAATCATCTCATGAAGACAGGGTTTCTCAATTCATGAAGGTTATAGGAATGATTTTTTTTATTCCTCTGATTCTTTATTTTTCTAAATTTGCTGAGTTCATATATTAAGAGCATGTGTGAATACACAAAACCTACATTACTATATTTTGGATGTCTTGGCCTTTCTACTGAAGAGGCATGGTGACTCTGAATCAAGGGAAATATCTGAATGGGGCTTAGCTCCTCAGTTGTTGTTTAATATTCATGAAGAATTACAGCAATAACAACAACCTTTGGAATAAATGCATCTCCATCCTAAACTAAGCACTGTCCTGCTGAATCTATTTGCTAAAAATAGAGACAGCCTTAGCTACATGGAACAAACCAACCTGTTGTCTGGAATCCATGTGTTGCTACTAAGAACAAACTGAGTGCAATTCATCTCTGTATAAAAACAACCTTGCCAAGTGGACCAAGAGCAATTGTTTGAATGGCGGGGGCTGGGGTCGAGGGAGATTACTAGTTTAGCTTTACATTGAAATTATCAGAGACTCATTACTCTTCTATTAAAATTGTCCAGACTACCATCTCCTTAAAAGCATGTGCCAAATTTTATGTCTCTGCGCTTTCAGACACACCATGCAATATTTGTTACTCAATAATTGTTCAGAAGCTGAATAAAAGGATACAAGAAGAAAGCTTCCCATTTCTAATTACAATCACATGCCTCTTCACCACTGACAATCCTGAGTTCATTATAAGTATTAATTTCACTACCGCATAATGTGTTTGCATAACCTTTAAACAAACACTTTAGCCAACTCTGTTCATCTTTGTCTTGTATCTTCACAGGCAGACAGTATTCAGGTATCTGATTGCTATTAATTTTGCAAATAAGTACAGAACTCTGAGGTTACATTTTAGCAAATATCATTTCACATCTAGAACCCTATGGCAGGTGTCTGCCTTGCCAACAAAACCTTTCTAGAAAGTATGTTGGGCATAACAATTCCTTGACTACTTCAGACAGGTAGTTTACCTATGTTATATAGGTTTTAAAAATCCTTTAATTTAGCATTCTCTACAATGTATTGCAAATTTTTAGAATGCTAGCAACTGAGAAGGAAAAAAAACTTTGTGTTCCAATGTATTTAAACGATGTTGCATAATGTATCTTCTTCTTTGATATTGACATATTAAAAAAGAAAACTGAGAAATCATGTTCCTCAGAAGCCTATTTAAAGGTGATTAAACCAGAACTTTAAAAGTTTTTTTTAGTAAGCACCAACTAATTTTGCTTAGAACTAGTGTTCTAAGGAACAGACCTTAGAAAATGTTTCTTTAATTGAATCTCAAAAATCCTAGTAGATTTGTAGAAAGGAAGAGGTGGGGGGGTGTTGTGTATTTTTTGCAAACTACAATGTTATGTCAGCAAAGAGATGATATATTGCGGATTGTGTTCTACCCTTTGGTCATGTTTTCTAAGATTTACAATATACTAGTAAATGGATACTCCCTCACTGATTTGGGTATTCCAGAGTTAATAATTCTCAGTTTTACATCTGGGCCTAATGAGTGTGTATGTGTGTTCTTTGCATAAGAAGAGACTTTGAGGGCATCCACCTGCAGGACTCCACCGTGCTCTGTCCCTTCTGCATTGTCTGCATCTCTAAGGAGCTGTTTCTGGGAACTTGGACATGGCCCTGGGCCATACAGAGCAATGTTCACTAGTTCACATGAGACTCTACCTCATTTTTAGATCTCCTTTGCCAAACTAGAGCTCTCTGGCAGTGTCATTAACGAAAAGCATTTACATGATTCTTAGCTAAACTTCTTCAAATGACTCTGAGTTATTCAAAACTTAATCTGTCTTTTTCTCAGTAAAACAATCAGGAAATCTTCCTGAATCTCATGGCATTCAATAAAGTTGTGAACATGGCCAAAACTGAACAGTTAATGGTATAAATTCATTCTCATCTTCTTTCCAGAACAGTGCTGAGAGTTAGGAAGGATGGTTCACCCATTTTATAGAGCGAGAAGCTGAGATCCATAAATAATATGAATATACTTCAGTTCTTCTGACCCATGACTTAGCGTACTTCTCAGTCGACTTTGTTACTTTTTAAGTTAAGCAAATGAGATCCTAAGAGCTTCTTTATGTACTTTATCACATCATATAGATATCAACTTGTTTTTTCTTATCAGATTTTAATAACTGGAATTCTAATTAAGTAATAGGGAATAACATGCCTTTGATTGACGTTTTTATGGTCATTTAATTTCCGTACATTTTTTATTTTACTTTATACTCAAAATACCTCATTTGAGGAGGGCCACCTCATATGCTTAACTTCTTTTATGATGAGTTACTTTTAGGCTGCTCTTCAATAGACCCAATAGAGATTTAACTGTATAAATGAGATCAGCTCAGTTCAATGTGTCATGGGTGTGGGTTTTTTTTTTTGGTCACAAAAAGCCTCATAGACACAGCTGGGGAACATTGTTGACAATTAAGGATAGACTTATTTTAAACAAGTCCATGCTTGGGAGATTTATGTCCTGTAAGACTATTATCTCTGAGTGAACTTTTGCAATAAAACTCTTCTGTGGTTGACATATATTTTCTAGGGTAAAGTCTCAAGAAGTGACAGCCTTGCAGGATTAGGAGCAAGTGCTTACAGGAAATTGCTACAGCTATGTGTAAGATCAACTCTCAGCTTTAGGTAATTGGTGACAAATAACTCTGAGCTTTCTCTGCAAGCGCCCAGTTTGATTTCCTTAAGAGCACAGATAAACTACAGTCAGACTTAATAATCCAGGCTGCACAAACATTGTTTGGATCTGGGTGCCTCAGCGACTGCTTTCATTTTATCTAGGTAACAAATGACAACTAAGAGAATGACCCGTGATGTAAAAAAAAAAAAAAAA